CCTTCCACGGTTAGCCTGACGATAAGGGGACTCTAACCCATGATCCGCCTAACACAATGGATATTTTACGCCAGCACTGCAGTCAGTGTGAGAATTCTTATCGACCTGCCATCGCTGGTATTCGAACCCGGGCCATCTCATTGGGAGGAGAAAACTCTATACCTTGAGCCACCAGGACTCCGATTGACAGAACCTATTATTATTCCTTAAAACTAATTAAAACTGTCGAATTGTATTTCACAGTTCACACATTCGACGTTTAAATATGCTGCAAAAATAAGAGTTCTATCAATAATTGTTCACTTTTTGATGCAAAATGCACTAGAACTTTCTTTTACTCCAAAAACATACAAAGATTGTCACCCACTGTCTTCCTTCATTGAGATTTGTGAAATTTAAAGATTTAGCTAAGTAAATTGAAGTTGTGTTCTAAAATAAGACAAAAATGAGGTTTTATCCGAGAAACTTCAATTGCTTCAAATATGTCACTTACAACCTTTTTCCAATTTTCTTTGCAATGTATAAAATATTACAAATTAAAAATTATTAATGAATCAAGATTATGGTTTACGATTTAACAAAAGTAAATATAAATTCAATTTTAACTATGAAATGTATATTTTACATTTGAAAAAAGCTCTTGCCGTTATGTTTAATCACTTTTTTCAAGGGCACCGTTTTCATTGTTATCATATCAATTCGTGACAGCACTAATAACAATTCATTTTTTTATGCAGCCCTATTTTCTAGAATCTTTTACGTACAATTTCTATCTACATCGATGAGCACTTTTCTGTTATTAAATTGAGGATTCTTATTTTGATTAGAGTTGTGTCCCAGAGAACTTTGAAAAATGATGGCCAATTACAGAGGCCAGGGCATCTGGCCATATTCATTCTACATTTATATTTGTGCAATAGAAAGCGGTCTTTACTTTCCAGCGAGAAAGTGCCCTTTATAAGATATCCCTAATGTTTCTGATGTATTTTTGTTCTCTCATGTTTGTTCACAAATACCTTCTGCATTTTACTCCCATTTAAGAGTGCGCATTACTTCAATAATAAATTATTCTTTCAATATTTGAAATGATTAGATGTATTTATTTCAATTCAACATAAATTACGTTACATTTTGTTTCGTTAATGGTTACGTTACGTTAAGTTTAATTCTAATTTTAAAAAGGAATTGCTATAGTCAAATATGCGACCTGTCGCCCATGTATTCTGTCTACTTCTGTGTGATCATGAATTATGATGCAGATTGACAAAAAAATGTTTTTGTTACTATTCTGAAAAATTTTTCACAAATTTCAATGGGTTTCCATATCTGTGTATTCCGAACATTGCTGGTATGAGACTTAACACTAAGGCAGATATGGATTCGTCAGTCTAGATCTCAAAGTCCTTATCCAAGACGTTTTTTTTAAAATAAAAGTAAGAATAGCATCTTTAAATTACAAAAATATCTACCTAAATAGCATTGTAAATTTTAAACTACATTATTTCAGCATGAATTTCTTTATTCCTTGTGACTTCAGTCATTTTTGTTTATGCTTAATAAAATCAAGTTTCATGATCCATTAAGGCGTTAATCAATAATCAATAAGAAGGTCGTTAATTCGATCCCCACCGGTCAAAGACTCCTCATGCAAAAAATGGCAACTGCTGATTGCTAAATCTGTCGGGATCATAAAATTCTCCAAGTTCCCATTACGAATCGATAACTCTAGGGGTAATGGATCGGAGATTGAGCGTGCTCTTGTTCAAGTCACAATTACGATCTGCGGATGGATGGTGTGTGAATGTGTAAAACGGGCTGCGACGTATGTGTGTGGCAGAAGCCGAAGCTCCACTCGAAAACAAGAAGAGCACTTCTCTGCCTTTAAAATGGGCTTGTCAGTATTGACAAATGGCATAAGACAACAACAACAACAACAATCAATAAGAATTCGGAGAGCGGTGAATCTGTTAGGGAGAATCGAGCATCCAGAACTACGCTGCCATGTTTAATTAAGAGCAGCGACGCAGTGGGTACGTAGGGGAGTACCAATGCGTGGAAAAAGCTCTACTGATTAATCTACTGTATAAGATAATTTAATAGTAGTTGCAAAACGGAGATTCGTGTAATAAAAAAACCAAGTATCCAGAGCAATGCTGTCGAAGAGAGAGAGAGAGCGAATCAGTGGAGCAGAACCAGCTGACTACCGAAGGCGCCGGCTGATAGACATACTAATCATTAATGTACCAAGTAAATTGCACTGAATTAATTTATGGAATTATTATCGGCGCTAGTATTTAATGTACTAAGTAGGTCGCAAGTTGCACTGAGCTAACTTTCATATAAATATTACCTTTAGTTTTCAAATGTTTAAGAAAATTAATCATTTTTTCAGTCGTGCCATCCTGGGTTATCTGGTGGATCAGCATGCACCAGGCAACTCTCTCTATCCTAAAGATCCCAAAGAGAGGGCCATCGTAGATAGGCTGTTGTACTTTGATATCGGCACTCTATACAAAGCCATAGGTGAATATTTGGTATGTATTTTGATATGTTACTAAATGACTTAAACATAAGGCATTTGCGAAAATGTATTACAAACACGCTGTCTGTTAGAGTAGATATTTTAGTATCCCACAATTAAAGTCAAATAAAATAAAAATCTTATCCACATATTTTAAATTATAATTTCAAAATTTTATTATGTTTCTATATAAGCGCAAACTTTGGCTATCTTAAACTTCTATTTTTTACACCTATATTTTTTTGAAAAAGCTCAAAAAATTGCAAGGAAATTTGTTACTTAAAGGTATCTCGTATGATAAGTAATAATTTTATGAAATACATAAATAAAAAGCAATTATTTGGACTGAACGATTTTGTAAAAGGCAAGTTTTTGAACTCTTTCTCTAAATGCTAAACTATTGCATACGCGATGACGTCACAGCAGCGGAGTTTCCAAAGTTTCTTCCTACTCTAGTTGCAGTAAAATCTCTCATTTAATAAGAAAAGTTTAGTTCATGACGTTGTTTTGAAAAGTAAACACTCCATAATATGGTTTCTCTGTAATATTTTTATTTACTTCTGTCTAGTTCTTTTTTAATTTATTTATATTATAAATGATGCTAATAAATATAATATAAATATTTATAATGATACTTTATCAAAAAGCAGTAATATAAGTATTAACACTAACCGTATTTATTCGTCTATTATTTGAACGGATTAATGGTTCACGTCCATCATATAAATGTGCATTATATTTAACATAGAAAATAAATATAAGAAAAAGATATATATTGAAATAGTTAAATTAAATCTCAAACCACTTTATCTTCATTAATATACCCGATCGATATTTATATAGAATAAAATTAAACGTTCATAAATTAAAGTAAAATAAAGGATTCAAAAAAGATTTCAGATTCAATTAAAAATTAAAAGTTTATGAAATAACTATATATTAGATGGAGAGTTTAGTTCATCGTTCAACTAGTAGTTAAGCTTACTACCGTAGAGGGGCGCTGCATACATAAGGGCAAAATGCGTTGTCATTTTCCTTAGTTGTGGAAAAAAAATGCATGACTTTTCCTCATTCACTAATATTAGTGGGAACTTTTTCGTACTTCTCTTCTGAAGATTTAATAAATGCAATAAAAAAATTCTAGTCATTTATGGATCAAAACTTATTTTACAGCAAAATTTGACATCCAGTTAAGGCTATTTTGTTGAGGATAGAATATGAAGTTGATATAAACCGCTAGTAGTAATAGCCGCTTTGTAGCCCGAAGACCTGTGCGCGAAGTAGAGCACTTCACTATAGAACAGTTTAAGTCGCAGCTCTATTCAGCACCTGAGCAATTGGGAGAGAGTAACGGACCGGGCTGGTGTCTCTATACTTCGTTTACTAAATGCCCTCTCAGCCACCCATGACATCCATATTCAGTGGATACTCTCACAAGTGGGTCTTTTTAGCAACGAACGTGCTGATCAGTTGACAAAAGAAGGTACTTCCCTCCCATCCGATCCAAACACGGCCCTCACTTACTCTGAATTATTTTCTATCTGCAAATCTAAAATTAATAAAGCTTGGCTTGTTCCACCGGATCACAATTGGTATCTCCGCAAGCGTTCTGGAGGAGCCCTTGACCTTCAGGGTACACGTGCCGACCAAACCACTACCTGTAGATTTGTCAGTGGGCATACTAAGAGTCTCACTTTCAGTGGACAAATTAAACGTTTTCCAACTTGTAAAATGTACAACTCCAGCAAGGCTAGTCCTCGCCATCTACTTGATTGCCTGGATTTCACCATGGAAGAGGTTCTTGACAGACCTCTCCTTTTCCTCGATTTTTTGAAAACTCACGGCCTCATGGATCTGGTATAGCTCCGCTATCCCAGCTGGGATTGGAAACAACAACAACATAGAACAGTTTAACGAAGACTGACTCAGCGTATCCTTTGCCCCTTCACAGGCTGAACAAATTGGTTACCCAACCGGTCACTGACCCCTGTCAGAGATGCCTAACTTCGAGGTTCTGCTTAAAACTGTGTCTTTATGACACTGTGAGACGCTTAACATTAAAAAAAATTATCAAAAACAAACAGATTAACAAATTTTATGACTATTTACAACAATGAAAAAAAAACTCTGATTTCCTTTTCTTATTTCAGTATCCGGTACTTTTCTTTGGACAGCCAGAATATGACTCTGAAAAGAAACAAGCCATCGATAAAGCATTGGGATTTCTGGAAGGATTCCTCGGCAAGACTTCATATGTTGCTGGCAATCACCTAACTATTGCAGATTTTTCTATTGCCGCAAGTCTAAATTTTCCTTATGTAAGTATTTTCACCTGTCAGTGTATTTTGATTTTCTTTTTGTCGCAAGTCTCAATTTTCCTTCTGTAAGTATTTTCACCTGTCAGTGTATTTTTTTTTTGTTTCGTAATTATTTTATAAATAGTATGCCCTATTTATGAAAACATTTTTATAGAAAAAGCAGATATCATAAAATGCACAGAGTGAAAACTTCGTAATAGCACAAAATTTAAATTCTTTTCTGGGACTCATTTTTTTCAGCTAGCTAACAAAATCATAATCTTTGATATTAAGTTTCATACCATTGGCAACATCGGTCATTTCTTTGCATAGAGTGCATATTACGCCGATCAGTTTGTTTAATAAAATCCATTTTACTATTATGCTGAGGCAAGTTTCGACTACACACAGAGTGAGCTTAATTCACTCGACTTTTTTCCTATTTATTTTTTAGTTTCGATTATTATGGCGGCCCCTATTGAATCACGTCTTATGAGGCAATAGAGATACTTATCTCTGAATCGAGTACCCTACTATGATGCTTTTTAAGGTTAAGTGCCACATACATTTGCTCGGTATACACTACACTGATGTTTTCTTTAAGGTAAAGTGTCATTTCCCTGTATACATTTGACCAGTATTCCCTACCATGATGTTTTGTTTTAAGGTTAAGTGGTTAAGGTTAACTGGTCAGTTCGGATTGGTTGTAAAACATTACCGCTATTCCGCGTACCTCAGATTCTGTGGAGCGCTGCTTATTTCATTTTTTTTTTGGGGGGGGGGACTAAGTTTGTTCGATAGTGTTGTTTTTGCACCTTTAATTAATAGTTTAGGACCCCTAATATGCATACTTTCATGACTTCATTTTTGAAAAGGACTATCTTCATCTTACCTTCGGTCCACATAAGAAGTTAGAAGCTAACTTCGCTTCTTAGCTTCCATAAGAAAATTTATAGTTTTACTCTCTCTGAAACATTCATGGACGTGAAGAAGCATTCATGGACGTTGTCATGTCGTATAGAATTTATGTTATTTCTCATTCTTCTTATTATGCCTATTATGTCGCAATTGGAGGCGATGTACTGCATAGACTCTTTCTGTTAATTACGTCATTTGTGCTCTATTTTGTAGTGATCCTTAATTTAAATGATGAGCTCTTAATGTTTTCTTTCCAAAGTTATCCTACAGAAAATAAAGAGACATCTTCTAGAACTAAACAATATGAATAATCAAACCTGAACTAAACAATGTTACATTCTGAGAAGCTTGTAATACTTTAATAATCCAAATATTTGCATTTGATACGTGTTTCTTGTAACAATCTATGTTCTTATTTATTTCAAATTCATCCAAATTGACATACTTTTGAATGTTCAATCAAATGCATAACTTTGAATACAAATAGCATTTATTCTATGCTTTGATCCACCTGCGAAGAGTTAATTCGAAACAATATGGCACACTGCTGAAAGAAAAGGCCCACCCTGAATACCTTTTGATCTAAAGATCGGATTTTCACGCTCTAGGACTCAATCTTGATGATTCAAGGAGGTGACCTAATGTGCTACGTATTTAGCGCTGATAATCTTTTAAGTTATGAAAAAAATCAAAAGTTATTTTGAGAAATTCAGCGAATCGAAAAATCTTAATGGTTCGAGCGGTTGACTCTAAAATGCTAAATAATTAGTGCAGACGATATTAATTTACGAAATCCGTCACAAAAACGTACTTTCTCTGAATAAACGTACCTGTTTCTTAACGGATTCGGATTTCTGACCCCTAAGGTATAGGGGGTGACCGCAATCTTGAAAATAGGGTCCCAGTAGTTTGGTCAAGACAGTGGTCTAGAGTTTAGACCCTTAATGTTAATATTACTTTTTACAAACACTATNTAGGTAAAACATGCAGGTCATTTGAATTTTTTTAAAGAGACAAGTAGCCATAGATTAATTTCAAAAAATTTAAGGGGCCAGAAGTCATGAGTTTAATTTGAAGTCAACGCTCATATTTGTCTTAATGAATACAAATAACTAAATGGTTGCTTCAAAATGTAGTACCATAATCTCGTTTAAAAGTGGTTTTGATTTTACTAAAATATTTATCAACATCTGCTCCTGCACCCCAGAGCCCAAGGTTAAGAAAACTGAGATGGGCACAGTAGGCCTTGGCCCTCTATGGGCTGTCGTGCCACTGAGTATAGTATTATATATATATATATAGATAGATAGATAGATAGATAGATATAATTATTATATATAATCATTATTTCGCTGATATAAATTTTCATTTGAAAAATTTAGAATTGCTCATAAATCTGTGTGTAAAAGACTTTTCAAATGTTTTAAATTTGTTAACATTGTCAGGGAAAAAAAATTGTTTTGTTATTTCATTCATTTTTAAATTTTTATGTGATTTTTCATTGTTCTCATAAATGAAAGAAGGTGCTTAAAATATGTTTCTGTAATTTTTTTCCCCTTCAAAGAATCTAACGTGTTGAGCAATAAAATAAAAAAAAAACATTTTGTTTATAAAATAAATAATTACTACAATTTTATGTAAGAATACTTCACTGGCATGCTATTCATTTAGTAAAAGGAAAGCGATTACTTAGATTTGAAAAAAAAGTTAACCATGCCTAAAAAATTAAACTTAAGAACACAGAATGTGTAATATATAGTGTAACATAGTGAGACGCTTTAAATTCGAAGTAATTTTACTTGTCAGCAATATGTAAAGATAACTTTATAATATAAAAGATGAAATTGATAAGGATAACTTTATGATATAAAGGATGAAATTGATAAGAATAAGTTTATAATATAACATTTACCTTACATTAAATTGGAAAATATTTTTACCTATGTTGAGTCTCTTACATTTTTAAAAGCTTGGAAATAAATGAATTGAGAAGCACGTAAGTGACATTTTCAGAGGTATTTTTTAATCAGGAAAAATAATATAAAGTATTCCCATCAATATAGGTATGTTTAATGTAACAGATTTGTTCTTGTTTTCGCTTTAATTTTAACATTACTATTACACATTAGTTTTGAGTTAGCTTATATGATTTTTATTTCAAATTAGGGAGTGGTAAATATATTAACGAGATTATTATTTGCCTCGACTTTTAAAATATCTATTTTGAAATATTTCAGATACCACTTATTTACTTCTTTTCCTATTATAGACACTCTGAAAATCTCACCTACCTGATTCTTCCATTTTATTGGAGGAACCAGGTAAGTGAGATTTTCAGAAGATGAAATTAGATGTTGTCACATATAAATCTGGACAGCTAAAGCTGTTCAGATTTATAGGTGACAACATCTAATTTCATCTTCTTCTTTTTATTCAATCAAGTCAAGTGCAAGTAACTATTAAAAAATAATTAGTGAATAAAAAATATTAATAATTTAAGCGAATAATTAATAAATAATGATAATTTGAAATGCAAATTTTGTGAACGTAAAATCATATTTTTCACCAACAACGGATGAATAATCATTATTTACAGTTAAAAAAAATATTCACTAAAAAAGCACTTATATTTGTGATAATTTTCGAAAAAATTTAAAATTAAAAAAAATTTATTATTTACAGTACAAAAAGTATTCACGCCCTACCTTGCCCACAACATGTTTGAGGCCAAGATATTGTTTAGTCCTTTCCTGAAAATAACTCAACAAAAAAAATGATGTTTGAAATTTTAAGCAATACGACTTCAGCACTTAGAAGACGCATAAATGGAAAGTATATTTTTTCTTTAAGGTAAGCAATTATAAACAAAATAAGCTTGTTCCCCTGCTACGTTTTTTATAGATAATAACATTAAGGATTGACCAAAGTAATAAACATTCAAACGGAACAACCTAAGTCGCATTTTTGTGTGAAAGAAAAATAATTTCACGTACTTCGAATACTGAATTCTTGAAAAACGAAGTAAATGAAATTACTTCTAAGTTTGTTAGCGAAACAGAGGCGGATGACCAATATGATTTTTTTCTTATTGTCAATTTTTGTTTGAAAAATGTATAGCTTAAATACTATGTTAAAATTATCTATTCCCGTGTTTCAAATTATTGTCACATATAAAAAAAATTAGACCTCTGCTCACGAGATTACTGGACACACACCGTCTTAGTTGTGAATTTCGTCTTCCTTGTTCTGTTTATCGGTCCGCCTAATACACCTTCATTTACAGAAGAGTACCTTGGGAACTCCAGCCACGATCTGCAGATACTATTATGAGGCCTCGCATAAGGTGATCCATGTTCGAATACCAGTGATGGCTGTCGATATGAATTCTGCTCCAGGTGCGCACCAACTACAGTGTTGACATAAAATACTAAGAGTTAGAGTCCTCTTGTCGTCGGGCTAACCGTGGGAAGTTTACATGGTTTTTCCTCTCCATGCAACACAAATGTGGGTTAGTTTCCTCAAAAAGTCCTCCGTGAAGTTTTGTTTGACCCCATGCTCGATTCCTTGTCTTCTGAATTAGGTCCAAAATTACAATGCCACGGAGTTGAGCTTTAGTATTCTTTAACTCAAAATTGGGTCGGCTGTTCAACACCGGTTTCGAAACTAAGCACTACTTACCTTTACTTAACCTTATTTATAATTTGGTTCATCTTCGAACCATTTATCTTTTGGATTTGATCCAATCACCATTATTATGAAATTACATTCTTAATTGACATAATTAAATCAAAATAGGAAATGCACTTCATAGAAATATTGTTTGTTTCTTTTCAAAATAAAAGACAAAATAGAACAGTAAACAGAAATTTGAAAAATACATAAAAACACACAAACAATTCATACAATGAAATGAAACTACTTATAAAATAAAATAATTTGTTCTTTTCTTCAGTTTTTTCCAAAGAGACGGGGTCCGAAACAGGTATCTGTGTTGGAAAAGAAAACACAGTTATGTATTTATGTATTTAGAAACACAGTTGATAGTCCAGAAGCTTCAACATTACTTGTCGCTAAGTATTAGAGACAGGACATCTATACTAATTTTTGTTTTCAAACTTACCTTACTTTTTTAGCTTCAACTAATTTTCTGTATTCATATTTAATTATTGTTTATGTAACTCGAGATC